TAATGAAATATAGTTTAATAAAAGATTCTTAAGTAAACTTGATTTTTTTGTGTGGGAAATTAATCGTTTAGATTAATCGATAAATTAGTCGATAGATTAATCGAAATAAAAATAGTAATTTGTGGCAGCCCTACTGAAGACTGGAGTAATGATGCTGAAAATTCAGCTTCACATCACAGTAATAAATTACATTTGAAAATATATTCAAATTACATTTCTTTAAGCAGTTCTTTAAAACTAATAATATTTCACAATAACGGTTTTTACTGGATTTTTTTATCAAATAAGCCTCGGTGAACATAAGAGACTTTGAAAAACATTTAAAAATCTCACCGACTCCAAGCTTTTAACCAATAGTGTAAATTCCATTTTTCTTGGAGCCTCCCTGGGTTTGTGTGAGTAGTCCTTTGTTGTTTAAAACAGTCATTTGCATATTTACTCTCTTTCTCCTGCAGCCTTTAGTAGCCACACCTAAAGGTGCCTGTCAACACCTCCAGCAGAGTTTCTTTCACACACCCGTCTCCTTCCCTACTGTAACCAACATTGCGGCTCCCAGAAACCTCTACATCCCTCAGAGAAAGCTTGATGTGAGTCCAGAGGACACCTAAGACCTTCACGCTGACGATCATCACACCTGCAGTCCTTCGCTGCTAAAAACCACTGTTCTGTTTGAGCCATTGTGTGTGCTTGTTATTTGTCTTTGAGCATTTTTATGTTTTTCTCTTTTTATACTGTTACTTTACTGTAGGGTCTGCATTCACTTCATATGAATCTGTGGTGCTTCATTCTTTTTACTGTCGAGGCTCTTGAAGGCAGGACAGCAAACATGGTGCTGTTTGACAAGTTTTTTTTTTTTATATGCTGTAAATTTTGGGTTAAAAAAAGGAAGAATGAACAAAAAAATGGTCTAAAATTCAAATTTCAGGGATTCTAGGAATTGCCAAATTTTTAAGATTTTTTTAAATTGTTGCGTGTGGCATTGCCTTAAAGTGTTAAAGTACCACAGTATATTAAATTGCCATAACTTGGCATTGTGTTATGATGTATTAATATGGGAGAATGTTAGATTAAGGGTGTTATTAAATATTGTAGATGTATTTTATGTTAATGAAATCTAGTAATATTATTATCTGCACATCATTTATTTGAACTGCCTTTACAATCTGATTTCTATGTAATAATAAAGATAAATGAATGTGCTCCACTCTTGTGTTTACTTAATAGTTGGTGAAATGTTTAGCGGAATTGCCTTCCACTATTTAAAAGTTCTTTATCTTTGTGAATGTCTTCTAGTATTGATTCATTTTAGTGAATCAGTATATTTCAATGAATCCAAAGTTCCTAGAGCTCCTTGCATTTTTGTTGTTAAACCTTTGTGATAACCAGCTTTATTAACTTGAAATGTATTTCTCAGTTCCAATGTGAAAATGACCTTTATATACTTTGAATGTGCCTTTAGAACTACTTTAGACCGACACTTTATAATCTTAATCGATTAAGATACAGAAATGCATTGTTTCATGTGGTTAACGGTTAATACATATCATATTGTCATATCAAAGTCAGTAGAACAATTAAGATTAAGCTCACCATCATCACTTTAAAGTAACCCTAACTTTGAACATAATCAAGTAAATTTAATTTGTACTTACAAACTTTCATCCAACTTTATATAAAGTGTTGGGCAATAATATAGTAACATTTTGCAACTAAAAAAAAAAAGGCACCTGTCTGTCATGTTTAGGTAATCCTGAACACCTGAGTCAACAGGTTCAGGTGAGTTAGATGAGTGTTGGCGCTAAACTGTGCAGTGAGGTCATGCTCCAGCAGCTGGTTTGGCTGTTTTTTATTTTATATGCCGGCATATAACAATGTCCCTAAAGAAGCGACCCCGGCAGGACTCGAACCTGCAATTTTCTGATTCGAAGTCAGACGCCTTATCCATTAGGCCACGAGGCCGG